CCCTGTATAGACTCAACTGTGACGCACACCCAATCAAAATCCCCGTATAGACTCAACTGTGGCACACACCCAATCAAAATCCCTGTATAGACTCAGCTGTGATGCACACCCAGTCAAAATCCCTGTATAGACTCAACTGTGATGCACACCCAATCAAAATCCCTGTATAGACTCAACTGTGACACACACACAATGGCAACAGAGCCCGTTTGGTGCTTTTGCTTCCAGAGCTACCTCCTCTATTGGGGGGAAGACTGTCTTTTACGTATCTTTGCAGTTCCCGATCCTAGCACAGTTCTTTGCCCATCGAAACCAAACTCACTGTCATGGAGTCGATGCCAACTCATACTGACCGGAGAGGACAGGGTTTCCCAGCCTACAACTTTACAGGAGCAGAAAGCCTCCTCTTTCTCCAGCCGAGCAGCTGGTGGTTTTGAACTGCCGACTTTGCATTAGCAGCACAATGAATAACTACTATGCCACTAGGGCTCTACAATATGAGAGAATGGAAGTGAGTGAGTGAGTGAGTGAGTGAGTGAGTGAGTGAGTGAGTGAGTGAATGGCTTCCTGAATGGCGCCTTCTTGCTTGGATCACATCTACAGATACAGATGGTCCCACAACCCCAAGTCCTAGACATGCTGCCTCACAGAATGCACTAGCCAGATGCACTCTCTGGAAGTCATCTAATGCTTCTCCTCTTTGCTAGAAGGCACTCACTCATCTAAGGCCACTTCTCTCAGTGGAGCCTCACCTGTGTGTGCAGCCAGGAGAGCACAAAGAAAGGGGGCCAGGGTGCTGGTCCAGGAGCAGCTCATTTGCATGAGGAGATGGATTACAGCCATCAAAACCATTGAGGAAACAAATTGGCCTTTGGTTGCATCTAAAGAAGCATAGATTCCAGAAGACAGACATTCTACTCCAGTTTGCATGGCTATGGCCTTGCCCACAGAACGATGTCCAGTTCTGGGAACCACACTTTGAAAAAGGTATTGATCATGCAAAATTTAATCATGCACGATACAATTTTATATATCAAGAACTCCAAAGATTCAATGAGGAAATTGCTAGAACTAATGGAAAAATTAAGCAATGTAACAGTCTCTTACAATTAGCATATAAAAGCCAATGGACTTCTTGTATATTAAGGAAGAGAACTCTGAAAATCTGAAAAGAACAATACCATTTATAATAACCACTCAAAAGATGAAACACTTAGAAATAAGCCTCACCAGAGAAACAAAAGACTAGTCAGAAAAAAACAAAAAACTACACGAAACCAAAAGAGACTTATCTTAATGGAAGAAGGTTCCATGCTTATGGATAGCAAGACTTACTACTGTGAAAATGTCAACATTACTGAAAGCAATCTCTAAATGCAGGACAGTTCTGATGGAATAAATAGAAACACTGATCACCAACTTTATAGAGAAAGGAAAGAAACTCAAGATAAGCAACATACTACTAAAAACCACACTTGGAGGCTTCTCCCTCCCTAGTTTCAAAACCTATTACACAGCCTCAGTAATCAAAATAGCTAAGACGTGGTACAGCAATAGACACGTAGACCACTGGATCAGAACAGAGAGCCCAGAAATAAAACCAAATACCTACAGACAACTGATTTGTGATAAACAACTAAAGCCCATTAATGGGAAGAGGTAGACTTTTCAACACACGATGCTGGCAAACTGGACTCCATCTGCAAAAGGATGAAACGCAACCCAAACCTCACACCATTTACAAAATGGACTCAGCGTGGATTACATACAAACCCTAGAACTGTAAGTATCATAAATGAGCAGACAGAGTCAAACGCAAAGGCCCTGGTGCATGGCATACACATTACTGAGCACAGTGCAAACACAGAGACTCCCTGCGAGACATTCCTGATGACAAGACACATGGAGCAGGAGGAGCCACATAGAGATCCCTGCCAGCACTGAGATGCTTCCACTACCACTGGATCCACAAGACTTTCCACCCACTGGCCTGTGATCTTCCTGCATTTGACATCATTGCATGTTTTGCGTGAGTCTGAAGAGGAATTTATAGATTGGTAAAGGACATATGGTTTTATATCGTACTTATGGACTTGATCTGGACTGTGCTGGGATGTTTTCTTAATACACAATTACTCTTTATATAAAGCTCGTTCTTATACACATATGAGTGTCTATGAATTTATTTCTATAGTCTACCCAGACTAACACAATAACAAATGATGGAGAGGAGGTGGAGATATTGGAACTCTCAAACATCGCTGGAAGGATTGGAGAGTTGTCCAGCCTCTATGCAAACCAGCATGGCACTTCCTTCAATAGATGCTAATGGAAATACCAATGACCCAGCAATCTCTCTACTTGGCACAAACCTCCAAGAAATGAAGAACAAAACACGAGCAGGTATACGCACACCCACGTTTATTGCAGTGCTATTCACCATGGCAAACAAGATGGAAACAACCAAGATGCCCATCGGTGGAGGATTTGGACAAATGGAATACTGGGCGACCCTAGAACACATGCTGAAACACACACGCCTCATGACATGAACGAATTTAGAAACATTATGTTCCCTAAATTAGTCAGTCGCATAAAAACAAATGCTGTATGAGACCACTGTTATACAGAAAAAAGATTAAGAAAAAATGCTTTGCACACCAAGAAATGGAAACTTCAAAGGCTAAGGAGATGCTAGGGTGTGGGGGTTGGGGGAAGAAAAGGAGCATGGGAGAGAGAAAGAATGAAATGCTTAGGGATTAAATTCAACCAGAAGGTATAAGATTGCTATGCAGAAAACTGAAAATCTTGTTCCAAGGAATTCAAAGATGTTATTTTAAAAAGTCGTGTGGGGGACAGCTAAAGGAAGTGGGAAGACTGGGTGTGTAAATGAGGATTTCCCTCGCCTGTGGGAAAGTCTTCAAGTGGAATCAGTCTGCACACCCATGTGCAAGCCACAAGGAGCAAATTCTAGCTCAACGTAAAGAACTTTGTAAGGAGTCCTGGTGCGTCGCGGTTATGCATCGAGTTGCAATCCACAGGCGAAAGACTCGGCTTTCCACTCCCACCAACAGGGACAGCCTCAGAAACCCCCAGGGGGGCCACGGGGAGACGGCACTGACTCGATGGCACTGAGAGAGGATGAGGAGGTGAGTCCTTCATAGTCATAGAATAAGTGAACATGATGAGACTGCATAAAGATAAAAGAAATAAAACAAATATCCCTTCCTGGGAGGGGGAAAAAGCTCTCAACCAGAACAATGGTCTCTACTCACACGGAATGGGCAAGGTGGGTGCCCATTATTGACTGTCCGCAATAGTAATGAATAAAAACGGCAACAGTTAATGTAGGGAGCCCTGCATTGCCAAGGGGGTATGCAAAGTACTTCATGTGTTTTATTTCACTTAAATTCCCCACCAGCCTGTGAGGGATGCATTCTTCTTCTCCCATTTTACAGCTGAGGCACCGAGCATAAAAACTTGCCTAGGGTCTCACAGTGCCTCGAATTGAGCCCCATGGACGTGAAGCCAATCCTCTCCACAGCTGCTCGGCATTCGATAACGTCATCCACGTAGAACCAAAACCCAAACTCACTGCCAGGGAGTCCGTTCCGACTCCCAGCAGCCCTCTAAAGTCCCTGAGTGTGCCCGGTTCCCAGCAGGTGTGCCAGAAACAAGGTGCCCTTCCTCTGCTCAGACCTCCAAGCTCAACACCCGGCTAGTGGCTGCCCCTTCCTCTCTCCCTGGTGGGTGGGCAGTGACTGACCTGGCTGTGCAGCTCCTTGGGCAGACGCAGATCCTGGCTTCTTTCAAACTGCTCCATGAGGGCTCTTGTCGCCTGGCTGTCAGAACCGGAGAGCAGCCAGAATATCCTCTCCATGTTGTAGGGCACCTGGGCAGAAGGGCAGAGTCCTGGGCCCAGGGCGATCTCAGCCTGCCTAGACCCTACTCAACAACACCTAGGCCACACCTACCCACCTCCGCCTCCCTATGGGTCCCACCTGGATGTCCATAGCTGATGCCAAGGTTGGTTTGATGGCCTTGGCCAGAGAGAAATCCCCCCGCTGGATGGTCCTGTGGATGATGTCGTTGTGGTTCACTGTGGCGACCAGGCGGATGGGAAGGCCCATCTTCTGAGCAATGCACCCAGCTTCAAACAAGAAGAGGGGAACAACGGTTTCTTACTTTTGCAAAACATGTGGACAAATCTTGCCTTTGATCCTAATGAAAACGTCATGGTATCTCTACATAACCCAAGCCAAACGCACTGCCAAGATGTGGCGTAATGATTACAGCTTGGGCTGCAAACCACAAGGTCAGTAGTTCGAATCCACCAGCCGCTCCTCAGGAGACAGACAGGGCTTTCGACTCCCATAAAGAGTCACACCAGTGGTTTTCAACCTTCCTAATGCTGCAACCCTTTAATGCAGTTCCTCATGTTGTGGTGACTCCCTAACCATAAAATTATTTTCTTTGCTACTTCATAGCTGTAATGTTTCTACTGTTATCAATTTGGTGACCCCCGTGAAAAGGTCGTTTGGACCCCCAGAGGGGTTGCGACCCACAGGTTGAGAACCACTGAGTTACACTCACAAACTCACAGGGCAGTTCTACCCTGTCCTCAGGGTCACCATGAGTATCTCTGTGTAGCAGCGGAGAAACGGAGGCTTAGGATGGCTCAGGGTTGACAGTTACACGGTTGATTCTGGGCTGAACAGACAGGTGGGACACCCTTAGCAAGCAGCCACCGGGTGTTTGTTTTGTGTGGGGCACTCTGGTGGGTGCTGGTGGCAGAGGCCCTCAGGGTGCACCAGAGGATGATGTGAATGGGGAAGTCAGTGAGCACCCTAACGTGGTAAATAACGCTGGTCCATCCCTGTGATGGTTAGGGACACTTCCGGCTAGACGTGGAGTCAACCCGGAGGACACCTCATAGGCCTTTTTTTGTAAGAGAGGTAGGCCAAGGAGCGTCACCCTCCCTTTGACCCCTCGCCTTCTGCTGAAACTGGATCTTGCATCTGGTTCCTCCAACTTGGTCTGCTGATGGAGGAGCCATCAGCCAACTACCACGGCTGGATTTGCTCAGCTGACTGCGGACCTCTGCAGCCACCAGCCAGCGCCGCCCCAGCATGGTTCCCCAATCCCCTGTTGCTTCCTGCTCATCAGTTTCACGTGGCAGGAGAAGCTCCACTTGAACTGGGCTGAACTTGAGCCATTCCTGGCTCTCAGCCTCTTTCTGTTGACAACACGCACACGCGTCATGGTTGTGCTTCTCTCGAGAACCCAACAGCGCACAGTCCCTCACTCCCAGCCCCTGCTCCTTCCATCGTCCTCCTGGCTAAAGGACACTTCTGAACCACCAGGAGGCCTTCCTGGTCTCACCCACCCAAACCATCAGAAGGGAAGTCACTGAGTCAGTAGCACCCCCCAGGAGGCAGACTCCCTCCCGGCTGTGACCCCGGCTCCGCCCCTGAGCAGCTGTGAACCGGGGTGGGGGGTGGGGGGCGGCAAGGTGACTGCCTTCTCTGTGCCTCCGCTTCGTCTTTACAAAATGGAAACAGCGCAATCGCACAGCCCTCCTCTTAGGTTCACGTGAGGATTAAGTGGGTTCATACACGAGAAACACTTCTGGGGAGCCACCCAAGACACAGTGCCCCCCTGATGCCGAGTCCTGCCCAACTCCCAGCCACCCCACGCGCCCAGAGGGCTTCCTGGGCTGTAATCTTTCTAGAGGCAGATGGCCAGGGGCTGCCTTCCATGGCACCATTGCTGCCTTGGGTGGGTTTGAACTGCCGACGTGTGGGCTGGCAGACGAGCTCAAACCATTTCCTCCACCCAGGGACCTTACATGACACGCAGGCAGGGCTCAGTGAAGGCTAATTATGATTCAGGGAAAGTGGCATGATGCCGGGTAATGGTGCAGCCCTCTGCCCTGACAGCATCCACAGGCACAGAGAGAAGCATATTGGCTCCTCTCTGCAATCTGCCCAATCCAAACGCCCGCGTCTAGATAAGGAGGGTGTCCAAGGGACCATCCCACAATAGCTCAGTTAGAAAGTGGTGGACTTGGAGCGGGAACCCTAAGTCCAGACATGTCCTCTCACAGCACAGCGCCCAGAGAATGTGTTCAGGAGTGGGAACAGATTGTGCCAGCTGAGCCTCGTGCCCTCACATCGGGCAGCTGGCCATGGAGGCTGACTCAGCAGTGGAGAGCACTGCCAGCTGGGCATAGCACCTGGACCCTGACCTCATCCCTCCATGCTCTGCCAACTGGATAAGGGCAGGCAGGCCCAACCACGGACCGCTGACACTACCTCCTCATCCTTCACCTGCAGCAAGAGCCGGAGATTCCCCCGGGAAGTTAAGAGAACGTTTCCACAAGGATTTTTCCATCCCCTTCCAAACAAGACTCTACAACTGTCCTCTTCACGGTCCCTGTCAAAGGGCAGCTGGAAGGAGGCCACACTGGGGCCACAGATGTTTTTCTAGCAGGTCCGTCTTAACCTGGGGACCCTCCTTACTGTTTGGGCCGGGTCCGGACCATGCAGCCCCTCCCCCCAGCCTCTCAGAAAGAAGGGTGATCTTCTGTACTGTGCAGTCCCTGCCTCCAGCAGTCCAAGGAGCTTATCTCTCCGGACATGGTCCACACGGCCTATTCCCCCCACCTCTCCAGTCCAGAGCTGGACTGTGCATCCTCTTCCCCCACCTGCCAAGAAGCTGGTCTGTGAGGGACTCACAGCTGCAGCTGCAGCACCAGGAAGCCTCCCTTCTCCTTACTGGCACAAGCACCAGCAGCTCTCTCCATCTCATTTGCATATTTCTCTAGTCCAAATCCTACAAACATCCCACTGCCCCATCAAAGGGCAAGATTTCCCTGACCTTACTTGTTGGGTCTCAGAAACTGCCCAGGAGCTCAAGATGCTCCTGTCCCTTTCTCTGCTCTCCCTTCCCTCCCGGGAGCTCTTTCTCTACCCTAGTAAAATCGCTCTTAACCTCAATTCTTCTTTGTCTCAATTCTATCTCCGTTCTGTGTCTCAGTGTTGACCTCTCACTTACCTGCAAGGTTGCCGCCAGCCCCCGTTGGCACCACCACCTCCACGAGGGGCAGGGGGTCTGTTTCCATGGATGGTGTGCACCGGAAGTAGGCAAAGAAGTGGTGGGCCATCTGCACCAGCACCCGGGACCAGTTGATGGAGTTAAGGCTCATCAGGTTGTGCTCTTTGACAAAACCCACGTCGGCAAACACGGCTTTGATGGGCTCGTCAAGCTCATCGCTGTTTCCCTCCACTGCTGGGGCCAAAGAGAGAAGACCGTTAGGATGGATGAGTGGCCAGCACTTCTTCTGAAAGGCCCGCCCCAACTGTGCTTATCCTGCTTGGACCCCTGCTCGCCTGGGTGTCTTTCCTGGGTCTTCTCTTGACCTGGCTTTCTCAATTCCATCCCGAGCTCCTCTAGGATAGAAGCCATGTCTCCCACTGGCATGCCAGGGAGTTCTAGCCCAGCTGAGAGAGAGCAGAAAATGTATGGGAACCTTGGCCATTGCTTATACCTTTGTAGGAGATGAAATATACAATGTCAACTTTCTGGAGGGAAAAACAGGGAAACTACTCATCTTGGGTTCCATGCCTATTTTCTCTACTCTTCTATGAAGGAGGCGGGACTGTCCTTTTGACTGGGAGTTAGTAAGAGAAGGAGGATTCTTTATCCCACAATCCTCCCCATCAGGGGTTAGGGTGAAGATAGTGATTCCTGTGTGGCCTGTCCCTCGCCCCTCGTTGAGATAACAATGGGGCTACTAGGTGGTAGCTAAGCTCGCAAATGCAGAACTGGCCCTAAAGCTGGGTATGCACATCAATTTATGGGTGAAATATGAAGAAACTCACTTCGCCACTGATCCAAGTTGTATTCCCTAACCCTGTTAAACCAGCATTGAAGCCAATATTGATCTTGTACCTGATACCTGTATCTATTCATCATTGGAACCAATCTTGATTTGAGATGTATTGTGGAAAAAACTAAAATAATCATTAAGGTGTGTATCCATTCCTGCATCACCCTGTGCACTGGGAATGATGCTGGGCCCCAAAATGAATCCTGAAGGGCCTAACCAGCCATGTTCAACTCCTGGTTCAGAAACTCAGACATAAGCCGATCAGTGTCTAGCATTCACCTGGAGTGATTGCTAAATCCAGGCCAATGAGAGATGCTAGGATTCTAGAAAGAAATGGAAAGCACTGCTTTTCTGCTTTCCAAAGAGAGCCATAGGAAGAGAGAAGAGACCTAGTTACCTCAAGTAATTAGTATATGACTAGAAGAGGAAGAGGCCTTAGGACTGAGAGATTAGTGTGACTACAAGAGGAAGGAACCTTAGACTGAGAGATTAGTGTGACTACAAGAGGAAGGAGCCTTAGACTGAGAGATTAGTGTGACTACAAGAGGAAGGGGCCCTAGGACTGAGAGATTAG